ATTTTGTCTTTAAGCAGAGAATTGGTAAACCAATTATCTTTCATCCCCAGTTTATAGAACAAGGGGACTTCTTGCTAGGCTAGGTTAAAACTTCTGCACTCAAAAACAAAATTGCATAATAATTTAATATATATAGCATGACGAATCTCGATAAAAATGAATTGGCCAAAATTGGGATTCAATTTGGTAATTTAGCCCGCAAGTGGAATCCAAAAATGCGTCCTTATATTTATGACAAAACCAAAAGCAAAATCCATATCTTAGATCTGCAAAAAATTGTTGTTAGTTGTCAAGGAGTAGGCGATTATATCAATTCAATAGTTAAAAAAAATAAAACCATTTTATTTTTGTGTACCAAAAAAACAACCCTGAAGAAACACCAAAAAAACAACCCTGAAGAAACACCAAAAAAACAACCCTTTGAAATAGTTAAAGAACAAGCAATTCGCTGCGGAATGCCTTATGTTGTTGACAAATGAAAAGGCGGATTTTTAACTAATTTTGGGGAAACTGAGAAAAGATTAAGAGAATTACAAAAATTAAATTTTTTTGTCAAAAAGGATATCTTTAAAAGTCTGACTAAAAAAGAACAAGCGAAATACGAAGAAAGGAGGGTCGAATTACAAAGTATTTACGAAGGAGTGTCTAATTTAAGAGGTAAACCCGATGTTTTGTTTATTATCGGTCTCAACAAGGAAAAGACGGCTTATTCTGAAGCTATAAAAACCAAAACTCCCGTTATTGCGGTTTGTAATAGTAATTGTGACCCTAAATTAGTAGATTATGTTATCCTGGGTAATGACGAAAAGAGTGAGTCCATTAACTTTTTTGCCAGTTTAGTGGCGGATGCTATTATCCAAGCCAAAGATAAAGCAAAATTAGTGTCTGAAAATAAGCCACAGTAAATTAAATTTTCAAGAGAAAAATAAATCATAATATTTTAGAATAAACAAGGATATGAAAAATAGATAGCAATATTTTAAGAATGAAATAATCAAAGATTATTTATTTAAGAATAGAATAATTACAGGTAATTATTCATTTCAATAGACACAGATAAGAAAAATAATTTCCAAAAAATTTAAGTATGGAAAAATTTCTGCTTCCGCACCTCAACACTCAAACTAATTCCAATCTCTCTTTTTCCTTTTTGACTATTCCTCAACTGGTTGATTGAGCCAGTAATAATAAATTAAATTACTTGGCGATTGCTGATTATTATCCTTACGAGATTACGGAATTTTTTAATTTATGTAAAGCGAAAAAAATCAAACCAATTTGGGGGGTGAAAATTTTTCTCCAAGAAAAACCTGCCGGCAAAAAAATTACTGCCACTATTTACCCTCAAAACAATAAAGGCTATAAGGAAATTATCCAAAAATTATTTGCTCCTGATTCCCCCCATGACCGAACTTTTTCTCCCGCTTACATTTTCCCTATTTTTAGCAAAAATTGTTCTCTGGTTTTAGAAGCCCAAAAAATAGAAGAAATAAAATACCTAGCCGCTCAATGAATTCTCACCCGTTCACCCCAAAAAGAGGTCAACTACGAAAATATTTTTCTTGGATTTAATTTTTTTCTCCTGGCTCCCTCCCAAACTATCCCATCTCAAATTATTCCTCGTTTACTCCCTTTCTTTGCCGTAAAATGTTTAACTTTTGAAGAAGTCAAATTGTTAGGTTTATGAAAAAAAACCGGTTTCAATCGTCATTTTTTTCCCACCGACACCGGAGGTGAATTCATCCCCTATTTAAATACGGCCGATTATTTTTCTCGCTGCACGGACGACCCAGCCTTTTATCAATTATTACTTATTCAATGACAAACTTTTCTCACCAAAATTAAACTTAATCCTTCTTTTCGAGGCGAAAAATTAAGTGAAGTTAAGAAAGAAAGTGCACTTCTTCTCCTCAAAAGTAAATGTTGGCAAAGATTAATTGCCCTCAAAAAAGAAAAAGAAGAAAAATATCAGCAAACTCTGACCGAAGAATTGAGAGTTATCACTCAACTTAATTATGCTGACTATTTTTTAATTTTTAGCGATGTTGTTCATCATTTAAAAACTGAAAATATTATCGTGGGACCCGGGCGGGGCAGTGCCGTGGCTTCTTTGGTTGCCTATCTATTGGGAATAACCCAAATTGACCCCTTGGAACATAAATTATTTTTTGCCCGTTTTCTCAACGAGAAAAGAAAATCCCTGCCGGATATCGATTTAGACGTAGAAAATCAAGACGAAGTTTTTAGTTACTTACAAAAAAAATATTCCAAAAAACAGGTAGCCCGCATTATTACCCGCAAAAAAATTGGTTGAAAAATCGCCCTGCGAGAAATAGCTAAATTATACCGAATAGACGAAATAAAATTAAAAGAAATCACTTCTTTGGCCGGTGAAAGCCCTGATTTCAGTAAATTGAAATTACAAAAATGACAGACCGCCTACCCCGCTCTTTTCAAATTGGCTGAAAAAATCCATAATTTATATTATGATACTGGCGTTCATCCGGCTGGAGTAGTTATTAGCACTAATTCTTTGGTGGGTTCGGTCCCCTTGAAAACTGAAAAGGATTATTTATTGACCTTATTTGAAGAAAACAAATTAGCCGAATTAGGTCTAAAAAAATATGACTTTTTGAGTTTGCGAGAGACACTTGGCTTTATTCGAGAGGCTCGGTCAATTTTGTCTATTTCTCTGCCGGATTACCAAGAAATAATTCTGACTGACCAAAAAACTTGGGAGGGGCTGAAAAATTTTCTTCTGACTGGCATTTTTCAACTGGATACTCCTTCCGCCCGGACTCTTTTTAGTAGATTTAGCCCCCAAAGTTTCACTGAACTGGCACTTTTTCTCTCCCTCAACCGACCCGGCACTAGAAAAAAGGCCGAAGAACTATTCCGAGCATCTCAACAAAAAAATACTAAAACCAGAATCATTTTTACTTCCCCAAAGATTAGAGAAATATTAACCGAGACTTATGAACACATTATCTTTGAAGAACAAATTAGCCAAATTTTGGCTCTGGTTTATGATTGTTCGTTCGCCGAGGCCGAAGTAAAAAGACGAGAATTACCAGAAAAAGGATTACAAAAGGATTTTCTTGCCCAAGCCCAAAAGAAAATGTCTTTGACCGAAAGTAAATTAATTTATCAGCAAATCAATTCTTCTCTGGGATACACTTTCAATAAGGCCCACGCTATTGCTTACAGTTACTTGACTTATTATATTGCTTATTTAAAAGCCAATTTTTTTCCCGAATTAATTACCTATTTTCTTAACAAAAGAAAGGAGAAAGAATTATCCTACTTACAAGAAGCATTTTTTTATGGATTTCAAATAAAAGGACCAGACATTAATCGTTCGGAATTAGAATGAATTAAAAAGGATAATGAATTGTTAACGGGATTTAGTAATTTAAAAGAGTGCCGACCCGAATTCTTCCAAGGACTAATTGCAGAACGAAAAAAAGGAGGAGTTTACAAAAATTGGGAAGATTTAATTAACCGAACCCTAAATTATTGAGAAAAAGTGGAAGCGAGAGTTTTTGAAATGTGAGTAAAAAGTGGTCTATTTGCTAGTTTAGGAGTAGAAGTTGATAATTTATTAAATAATCAAACCGCAATTTTTCGTTATCTGTCGATTCGAAAAAGGCTGGTTGCGGCTAACAATAATTTGCCTTTTTTACATTTGTCAAACGAAGTTTCAACCCAGCAAAAATCGGTCATCAACAAAGCCTTAATTAATCAAAGAGAATTCGAAAGTTTAGGGTTATATGTAAGTTATTTTTCCCGCTGGAAAGAATTAGCCGCTCAAGATCATAAAATTTGCTCCTTGTCTGTCGTCTTACAAAAAATTGAAGAATATGATAATAAAGAGACCTCTCTCAGTGTCTACGCAATTATTTGTAACCTGGAAAAGAAAAGTGAAATGCGAGTAGCCTACTACGAGCATTCCCAAATTCATAGCATTGTCAGAGACCAAAATGATTATACCGTTTTTTTACAAGACATCAGGAATTCTTTTCAATTAAATATAAGTTCCGGTTTTTACCAAGAAAATAAAGAAAATCTGGTAATTCATAACGAGTTATTATTTACTTTGAAAATAGGAATAAAACGGGGCAAAATTAATTCTTTGGTTTGTGAGGGTGTTAAAATAAAAATATAATAGCATTTTATAAGCAATCTACATTATTTATTGCAGTTGGTCTTTGTTTGTGAAAGTAAAAAGAGAAACACAAAAATTAAAATAAAGATAAAAAATATTATTATTGTATATGTTAAAACCAAAATCATTTTCCAGTGGGTCTATGAATGTAAAAATTATTCAGCGAAGAAAAATAAACAGCGATAAGAAAAAAATAGACAGGGATATTTTAAGAATAGAATAATTAATTAGACAACCATATGAAAATAGATAGCAATATTTTGCCGAAAGAGTCAAAAATAAACAGAAATATTTTACATAAAGTATCAAAGCAGAGTTCGAGAAATTGGGTTTGGCAAACAAAAAAAAGTTTCTATGAACGAGAGATAAGCCGTCTTTTATATCAAATGGTTCAGGAATATAAGCTTCCTTCTTGCTCTTTGAGTTATTGTGAAGTAAGCACAAAAGGTGAAAATGTAAAAATTTATTTATCTTTTGCCCGAGCCGAAAACCAAGCCAAAACTCTTCGATTGATGAACGAAAAATATTCCTCTTTGCTAAAAAAAAGAATGGCAAAAAGTAAAAAATTTGCTTATATACCCAATCTTATTTTTCTCCTCGATAAAGAGTTAGAAACCATGAATAATTTGAAAAAAATCCTCCAAGAGTTTACTCATGAAAATTAGCGAAATTTTGTCCTTTTCTCTTATTGTTGTCTTTCTTTCGCTGTTAGGTTTTTCTTTTTTTCTTAACTATATTTCTGCCCTTTATTCGGACGCCAATTTATTCAAAATAGATTTAGTAAAAAAGAGAAAAGATAGAAAAAGAAGCCAAAAATTAATTTTTATCCTTAAAAATGGTAATCTTCTTTTTGCAGTAATTTGTATTTATCAGGTATTTCTTAATATGTTTTTGTCGGAAATATTTATGTCCGGCATCGGTCATCTAATTCTGGGGGAAGTTGAAATTGGTAATTATAAGTGGCTCGTGCTGGTCTTGTTAAGTCTGACAATTGCTCTGATTACCGAAATATTTGCTCGTTATTTAGCCAACCGTTCCAGAAGCCGAAAAATGATTTTTAATAATTTTTTTATCGATATTACCTACACGCTAATTCGTTTGCCTTATCATTTTCTGCGGCTAATAGTTAAGCCGAGAAAGAAAATATTTGTTAATTCCGAGCAAGATGTTATTCGTTTTGTCAATAATTTGACCTTGGAAAGAGTTTTAGAAAAAAAGGAAGCGGAGTTGGTTCAATCAGCTTTTAAATTTGATGACTTACGAGTGGTCTCTATCGCTACTCCTTGAAGAAAAGTTGTGTCTCTCAGACACGAAATGCCTTATTCTGAAATCCAAGCCATCCATTCACGAGAATTTTTCACCCGCTACCCGGTTTTGAACCAAAAAAAGGAGATAGTGGGAACTTTCAACATGGAATTATTTTACTGACGGCTAATAAAAAGCAAAGAGATTCGCTGACAAGATTATATTGACAAAAGAATTATTTACTTCTCTCCCCAAGATAAATTAGACAAAGTTTTAACTGAATTACAAACCACTAGTTCGCGTATGGCCGTTATTCAAGAAAAGAAAAAATTGCTGGGCATTATCACGCTCCAAGATGTCTTGAGTGCTTTAGTAGGAAAAATAAGAGATGAAAAGGAAATTTTATTACTTCCTGGTCGTTAATATTATTGTTTTTTTCCCGTCGCCTCGATTAATCTTTTAGTTCGCAAACAATCGTTCCAAGAACTAAATTCATTAAATAAGCAATAATTAATAAAATTTCTTTTTAAGGGTTCTTTTATTTTCTTTTCATAAAATTCAACACACTTAACGATTTTTTGATTCTGACGAGCAAAATCGTCAATGTCCGAATCACCTTCCAAATATTCATTTTTCAGAAAATTAGGACTATTTTCTAAATAATTATAATCCCCTAAATTAACATGCTTATTATTGGTTCTGGCTCAATTCTTTTGGTAGTAAAAATAATGCTTAAAATTAATTATTTGTTTAGAAATGCTATTAACTTTGGTTCAGAAATCAGCAAATTCTTTCTTCCGAACATTCATTATGTTTAAAACAAATCACAATAGAACAAACCAGTGGAAAATACTAAAATTGGTTTGGGTTATTAATTCCATAAAATTTTTGACAGTTGCCGAACTATTAATCATAGCTTGATAAGCCCTAGCAAAACCTTCTGGTGAGCCAGTGAGGGCGTTATTATGAAATTTTTGTAGGTTGCCGATAATAAAAGGAACCACTAAAATAATAATGGTTGAATAAATTAGTATCTTTCTGACATATCGATTTTGTCAAGAAAAAAATTTTTCTAGTTGGGGTTTTTTTAAGTTTTTTGAACGAGGAAACGGTTCTCAAGTATTATAAGTAATAAATAGTAAAGCCAAAATGACAGTAGCAATGCTAACAAAAGAGGCTGTTAACAGACAGGCACCAGCAGTGTGAACCAGACTATTAATGATATATATTCATTTGTTATGAAGGTAAAAATTATTATTTTCAATATACCTATCCTTTTTTCACAAATATCAGTTAATTCCGAGAGCCAGAACATTCAAAACGACTATCACAACCAAGAAAAAAATGGCATAATTGAGGATTTTAGTTTTCTCTGCTATTTTACCAGTGCCTAAAAAATATTGATTAAAATTTCTTTCTTTTTCCCAGACAAAATAGTAAATCTTTCCCAAAATATCGGTTTCCAAATATTTTTTTCCTAAAATAATGAAAAAAATAGTAAAAAATATTCAAGAGATGGTTCTAAACAGCAAATAGGAGGAAAAAAAATAGGGATAGTGAAATAACGCATTCTTTTTTTTCACCATAATAGAATATTTTAGCGATTTAACTATCCGTTTACATTTATTTATTGCTTGCCTGTAGTGCTAAGGAGGAATATATTATGGTGTTGACATACAATACTGCACTAAATTATTTCTCATTTTCACTAAAAACATAATATTCGAAAGCACTATAATTAATGATAAACTTTTGAGTTAATTTTAAGATATTTTATCAAATATTGTTTAAGAATTCATTTTTCTCTTTTGCTTGACGACAAATAAATTCAGAAAGAAACTCCTTATCTTTTTCATTTTGTTCTAATTTAGGGATTACTTTTCTTTGTACTTCTAACAGAGGTATTTTTACATCAAAACCATTTACAAAATCAACTCCAATTCTTTGTTGGCCAGCCCCGCTTGTCATAATTTTTTTACCCTCTTCTATAAAATCTGAATTTCTTAAGCAATAATAAACCCATTCTATCAAAACTCCTTTTTTAGGTCTTAAAACAATAAATTCAGTAGAGCCAAAGCCAATTCCGTTTTTCAAATTTTTGGCAATACTCATTTTGCCATTTTCAAAGCAAGGAGTAATTTTAGCAATTAATAAGTCATTTTCGGCAAAATAAGTATAACCTTTATGAACTTCTTCAATTTTGCTAGTTCGTTGAGGAAAAACATACAAAGAATATTCTTCGCAATCTTCCATCGGCAAAAAGGAAACTTCAATTTCTTTTTTATCTCTAATTTCTGATTTGGGAGGATTTATTAAGCAAACATCACTAATCTTCTTGACCTCATAAGAGAGAGAGAGAGAGAGAGAGAGAGAGACGAATTGAGATTGTCAATTGTTTTTTGAGCATTTTGGATGTTTTCTCTAATTTCTGCTAATTTTTTAATAACTTTTTTCTGTTCTTCCAAGGAAGGGATTGGAACTTTTATTTTGCAGAACTCGGTAAAAGTTGAACTGGCTCGAGCCGACCCCACTAACTTGGTTTGTCCTCTGAATTTCTCTGATTGAAAAACGCACCAAAGATACTCTGGAATTACTTTATTTTCGTCTTTTACCTTGAAAACTGGATAATAACTAGTTACGCACCCAGTTTCTTGTTTATTATTAAAGCAGATATATCCAACATCAATTCCTGGCGGACGATAAGAAAAATGCTGGGGGGGAACTACCACGTAATTGGAAATATCCTCAGAGGCTATTCTTTCTTTAAACTTTTTTTCTTGAAGAACAAAATTTTTGTTTTTAGTGACACTTCAAATGGGAAATTCAACATTTTCATTAGCCATTGTCTCGACTCTTCCCTTTCCTAACTCTCTAATAATTTCTCAAATTTTCCCCGAACGCTTATTTAAATCGTCGATATTCTCGGCTTCTTCCAAATATTTTTTTCAACTATTTAAGCCAATGTCTCCAACTTTTTTGTTAAGTTCTATTTCCAGTTCATTATCCGGATCAGAACTGGCAAAAACAGTATTTTTAACTAAGTCTATTTTTTCTTCCATCCTAGTCCTAGTTGCTGCTAAAAAAGTAATTTTTACCTCTTCTATTAGTTGTTCAAGCGGAAATTTATCATCCTCTTTTTCGAAGGTGGTTTTCTTATAAAGCCTAGGGATACTCACATGATTTCTTTTTTCTATTTCTTCTACCAGCAATTTTTCAAATCCTTTTGCTAATTTTTCTTCTTCGCTGGCTTTTTCTAAACTCCAAAAAATATCTAAATCATTCACTCCTTTTTTTACTGATTGTTTGCTATTAAGGGCATAACCAATATTCTCAACCTCGTAATATCAAACAAATTTTTGTTTTTCTTTTTTTTGTTTGACTTGGGTTAAATAAAGAATATTTGCTTTAGCATTAGGAGCATAAGGGGCAAAAGCACCGCGGGGAAGCGAAATAATACATTCTACATAACTATTTTCATAAATTTTTTCTCTTAATTTGGTTAATTTCTTTTCATCGAACAACACTCCTTCGGGAACTATTATTCTTCCTTCTTTGTAATTTTTGTTAACAGCATTAAAACAATGCTCAATACATAGGCTATTTGCATTGGAGGTCATTCATTCATAATCTGAATAATCATCAAACGGTCCTTTTAGACCAAAAGGCATATTGGTTATTACCAAACTGTATTTATTTTCTACTGAGTTCTTTTTCTTATCTAAACTATCAATTTCTTGGATATTATTGTGCCCATCTCCAATTAAAATCATGTTCATCTTCGCTACTCTTGCTACACTAGTAACTTCATTGCCGTAAATGGAATTATTTTGCAATTCAATCCTTTGATTCCGGCTTAACTTTTCTGACCCGCCACTAGTAATTTGTTCATTTTCAATTCATTTAAAAGCCTCGGTGAGTATCCCACCAGTTCCGCAAAATGGATCGTAAACTCGTTCACTAAATTTAGGTTTAGCCAATTTCACTAAAAATTTGACTATCGGACGGGGGGTAAAATACTGTTTTAGATCCTTTTTTTGGTCATTTAAATATTTTTTTAAAAGATATTCGAAAGCATCTCCTTTGACGTCCGAATCAACTTCGCTTAATCTCAGTTTGCTTAATTCATTAACAATTTTTTTTAAAATGATTGGTTTTTCCTTTCACTTTTTATTAAGGGATTGGAAGATAGCATCACCATATTTTTTTTGAAAGCAGCAAATTTCTTTATCGCTGTGACCGGCCGGACATGCTAAAACTTTGGTATTAATGTGTTCTAGCAACTCATCTCCCTCCATGTTTTGAAAATAACTTCACCGCAATCTTTCGGGGATTAATTTTTCTCTTGACCGACGTTGGTCTTTCTCTAGGTCTTCTTCTTTTTCACTAAGCAATTTAAGAAATAGTAAGGTAGAAAATTCACTAAAACGTTCATCGCCATTAGTTAATCCTACTGATCGTAATCAATCATCAATAGACTTAAAAAAATTAATTAGTTCTTTTTTTGATTTAATTAAAGCGGCTTCTTGTGGATTATATTCGTTAGTGTCTAAATATTTTAGAGCAGTTTTTTCATCAAGGATAAAGTCGACTTCTTCACCATTATATACCAGTGGTTTACCAATTCTTAAATGAAGAGTTTTTATCGCACTTCCGATGATAACATAAACAAGCGATGCCTTTCTTTCCTCAGCGTCTCTTTTTGCCTGAAAAAGTGCTTTTTGTAAGTCTTTGCCTGGCTTTTTGGCTTCTAAAATAATTAAGGGATTTTCTCGCCCTTTTGGATGAAGAACATAATCAGCATAACTTCTCTCGTTGTCGAAAGAATAGTGTTCAACAAAAACATTTTTATCTTTGCCGGTTAATTTTCATCCTGCCTTTTCTAGTTTTTTATTTATTTCTAATCTTCAATCTGCTTCGGTTTTTATTGGCATACATCTATTTATTTTTCTTGGGTGTAGGAACTCTTAATAAAGTTTTAAACTTTTTGTCAAAATCTGCTTTTATTTGCTCTTTTTCAATTTTCCTATCTACTTCAGCATAAAGCGACTTTTTTTTGAGGCGATATTTTTTTTCCAACTTTTCAAACTCTTCTTTATCTTCCGAGACTGAAAGAAATCATACTATCAAACGAAGAGTATCATTTAAATCTTTTTTGCCTAATTCTTCAGTAAGCCATTGATGAAGCCTGCCTTTAATTTTTCCTTCCTTTGTTTTAGGTATCTTCTTCTTTAATTCCTCTAGCAATCCTTCAGGCAAATTATTATAAACATACTTGTTTGTTAATATGCCAATAAATGAAGGTCTCTTTGTTCCTTTGGGAGAAGGTAAATTTCAAAGCCGAAATATTTCTTGGTAAAAATCATCTTGAAAAGTTTTTTCTCATTCTGAAATTTTTTCTGAAATGTATGAATTAAATATTACTTGTAATCTTTCTTTTCTTATTTTATTGTATCCAGTTGCTTCATCTACTAAGGCTGTGATACCAAGATCGGCAAGTGAGTCAATTATTATCTCAGACTGAGCAGCAATTATTTTTTGTCTTGGCGACAAGTGTATGCTTCTTCTTGCCTTTAAGTAAACTCTGCATATGGCCGTAAACAAAGTATCTTTATAACCATGAATTTCAACTCCGTTTTCATCATAGCAAATAATTGGGTTCAAATGGCCCACCCCCATCACCTCTCTAACAAAGGGTTGAAGGGATTTTTGGCTTAAATTTCGGCCCACCCTACTTCCCGATATTTTCTTGCCACCTTCGTCAGTCATTTTTAAAGAACTTTGTATACCTCGACCGGACAATACCCTAGTTCCATCTTCTAAAACATAACAATCTAATTTATTTTCTGCTAATTCTAATACACCTCTATGGGTTATTTTTTTTCCTTTCTTTTTATTCGTATTAGTTAATTAATGTTGATAAATTAATCGTTTGCCTACTGCTGAACAAAGCATTAAATCAAACTTGTATCTATCACTGTAATTCCTGGTGTTAAAACGAAAAGTAAACTCATCAACATACCTTTGCGTGTGCTTTCTACTTATCCAATGATAAATGCCTTAAATTCCTCTTTTTAAATGAGAGCAAAAGTTCTCTATTGAATTAGTAGAGACTCCATCATTGACATATTGCTTTGCTTTGTGATTTACTATTTGGTGTTTAAACATTTTAGGTAGATTTCTGTTGTGTCGATATCATTCATCAGAGTAAAGGTTAGAACCTTTTTTAACATTTTTTTCAATCATCAATTCTAATGTCTTTTGTTTAGTATCAGGAACTGCTTGTGCAATCACATAGCCTCTCCTTCTGATCGATCCTCAAACTGGAATTTTATCTTTCCAACTTCTACCTTGGGAATTTGGCACTTTTTTATTTCAATGTCTATTTTTGTTTTTACCGCCAATAAAGGTTTCATCGATTTCCACAAAACCATCTAACATATTATTAAAGTTGGGATGCTCAAAAGCTTCACGTAATCGTTGAGACATAAATCAAGCAGTTTTCTGGGTAACTTTAACGTATTTGACTAACTGACGAGTTGAAACTCCTTTTTTATTAGAAGAGAGAAGATAAAATGCTAAAAATCATTTTTGTAGAGGCAAGTTACTATCTTCAAACACTGTCCCAGTTCTGATACTAAAACGCTTACCAGTATTCTTGCATTTATACCAACCATCAGCAAGTTCATAGACCTTAGAATTAGGGTCGTAAGGAGAAGTTGGTGACTTTTCATTTCATCTACTCTTTTTAAAATAATTAACACAATGTTGCTCAGTTGGGAAGTATTCTAATAAAAAACTAATTATACTTTCAAAGTTAGACATATATCATATTTTAGTGCAATATTGTATGTCAATGACTATATTATTATCTATTGTGAAACATTTTTTTTCTAAACACTCTTCTAACAATAGACACTAAAAGGATTATTATAACCACTCCCATGCCGCCAATTATTCAATATAGTTTTTGGTTGTTTGGTGGGAGGTTCACCTGGCTCGCGGTATTTTTGCTCTCTCTCTCTCTCTCTCTCTCTCTCTCTGGTTAATCTTATCGGTTAACTCTGCCAATTTTTTCATTAATTCCTTATCCTGGCTATTAACCACTTGTTTTCTTAATTGTTCGAGTTCGGTTTTAATGTCCTGATAATCGGACGGTTCGTTGGTTCTGGGCGGTTCCTTATTTTGAGCCTGCTCTAATTCATTCGTTAGTTGCTTAATTTTTTGTTCCAATTCTTCTTTATTTTTATTACCATTATTGAGGTCATTTAGTTGATTGATAAAGTTAGTGATTTGTTGTTGTAATTGGGATTTTTCATTCGCTAGTTGCGTAAGAGAATTATTAGCCTGGTCCAAATCGGTTTTTTTGGCTAATTTTGTTTCTCAATCAGTTAAATCATCACCGAGAATATTTTTGAGGGCAGTTAAATTTTTATCCAGGGCGTCTTTATCCTTGCTTAACTCTTCCAACTGCTTAATTAATTCAACACTGTCTTCTTGTAGAGATTCGATTAGCACTTTTTTTTCCCTCTCGCTTAAATAAATTTGTCCCTCCTCTAACCGCGGTTTTCCGCGAACATCTAAAATATAATTAATCACTTTGATGGAATAATCTAAAATTCTCCCTAATGTTTTTTTGGCTGAGAGTTTTTCTCCTCAATCCGGTTCGGGTAATTGGCTGTTTTGAAGAGGTCTCTCTCCTACTTCACCAAACATAAAGGATTGGATTTTTTCTGCCAATAATATTTTGGTTTTTTTGTAAAGTGAATTAGTTTCCATAGTGTCTTATTAATATTAAAAAAATTTTACTTTTCGTGTTGCATAACTTTTATTTGCTTACTTTGTTAAATATTAATTACTTCTTTTGGCCGATAAAGAAAATTTGATTGGATTGCCTCTCTCATCCTGCGCTTCGATATTGGCAGTATATTCATTTCGGCCCCCGCTCTGTTCTACCATGGCGTCTAATTCGCGGGCCACGGCTAAACTTTGCTCTCTGGTTATAGTAGTCGAACCAATAACCATGCCCGTGGACGAGGAACTGACCTCCGCTACTGGCGAACCAACTTTTCTTACTATATTAGTATCATCAAAACGGTCAGCACCACTGTAACGACGTGTTACCTCCGCGTCAATCTCTATTCAATCTCCTACTTGTCAAGTATTAAAGGGAGAAATATTGGAACAATGAATGAAATTACATACTAACGAACTAAACCTGTAATCAACACGACCATTGAGTTTAAATCCTATTTCATTCAAACTGAACAATGCGATTTTTTCTATTTTAAATTTTTTTCATTCTGCCATATTTATTAATGATTATTTATTTTGTATATTGTAGGCGCATATATAAATGTATATTGTAGGCGCATATATATAAGGTAAACCCTCTATATAGTGTTTTTAGGAAAAAGATTTGGCGACCAAATTAGGAGAATGAATTAATTACTAATTATTTTAGTCGTTGTGTAGTACTTTTTAACGACAATTTCTCCTGCCTTAAAAATTAAACACGCAAACAAAGCACTAAAATTATATAAATAAGAAGTATGAATAATTATCAAAGAATTAAATTGCCCTACGAACTTAATGAATTAGAATGGGTTATTTCTTTCAAAACCATGTATTATCATTACAATATTCTCCATAAAAATTATGAAGTCAAACTTTTGGAAACACTGCGGGGAACCGAAATCATGGAACAATTTCCTACTTTGGAGAACTTGATGGAAAATTTGGAGAAATTGCCAGAGGAAATAAAAGATGATGTACGTTTTTTTGGGGGCGGATTAATTAATCATAATTTTTTTTTCGCTCACCTGGCTAAATTTGAATCCGAGCAAAAGGAACGTGAAAGGGCAGAAAAAATAAGCCCCGATTTGCTAAATCTTATTCAAGAAAAGTTTGGTAGTTTAGAAAAATTAAAAAAAGAATTGGTAAAAAGTGCCTTAAAAGTGCGTGGGAGTGGTTGAACTTGGTTGGTACTGAATAAGAAAGGAGAATTAAAAATTATTAATACTGCTAATCAGGATGGGCCTTGGTCTTTACATTTACGGCCGCTAATTGCTATTGACGTTTGAGAGCACGCTTATTATTTGGATTATGGGGCTAATCGCAAAGAGTATGTGGAAAAATTGCTTGAGTTTCTTTTGAATTGAGAATATATTAGTCAGAGTTATCTTGATTATGTTGGAGTAGAGTAAAAAATAAATTAATACAGCATGACAGTCATCAAAAAAAAAAAAAACACTAATTATCGTTAGTGTTCTTGGAGTTGTAATTTTACTTGTTGGAGTCTTTTTTTTAGGAAGCATATCAGTAAAAAAGAATGGTTTGCCTCCGGAAAAGCCAGAGAAATTGAATGATGGCTTAGATGATCCAAAGCCAGTTCCAGGTGATAAAAAGGTAGAAAAAGTTGCTTATATAGGTATGGCCTATGATGAAACTGGTAAAATAAGTAAATATGCCACTTTTAGTACTCCGTTTCTTGATGTTCCAGGTGAACCTCCAAGTATAAGGGTTTTTCGTGTCGATAAAAATCACCCTAGAATTAAAGAATTATTAAGCGAAGGAAAAGGAAAATTAAAAGAGGGTAAAAAATTTACTATCCGTTATGGAAAAGTAGATAAAAAGTCAGAAAAAGGAATTTTTAATGTTCTTAATGAAAACAATTCAGAATTAGAGATTAAGGAGGTTTAGAATGCTAATAAAGAATAAAAACTATTGCTAAAATTAATAAATGGATATCAAAAATATGTCTAGTAATTTAAAAATCTTTGCCCTAGGGGGCTTACACGAAGTAGGAAAAAATTGTTATGTTTTCGAAAAAGATGAGGACATAATTATCGTGGATTGTGGCGTTAAATTTCTCAATGGCAGTAATCTCGCTGACGGCACTGTTCCTAATTTTTCTTATCTTGTGGCTAACCAAAAAAAAATCAAAGGCTTATTTGTTACCCACGGCCATGAGGACCATATTGGCGGCATTTCTTATTTACTACAATTAATTCCGAATATTCCAGTTTATGGCTCAGAATTTTCAATTTCCCTCCTCAAACAAAAGTTACGGGGGGAGAGCAAAGAAAAATCCACCATTTTTCAAGACGACACAATAATTCGCACCGGGGAATTTCGGGTCAGTTTTTTTCGGGTAACGCACTCCATACCTGGTTCTTTTGGCTTGATAATTGAGGTGTTGAAAGACAACACGAGAATAGTTGTTACCGGCGATTTCAAATTTGATTGAACCGAAATTGGGGAAAAATTTGATTTAGTTAAATTGGCCGAAATTGGCAAAAAAGGGGTGGATTTACTATTAAGCGATTCCACTAATTCCGAAGTTGAAGGCAATACCCCTTCAGAAGCAAAAGTAGTTAAGCGTTTGGAAAATATTATCACAGAGGCTACGGGTCGCGTAATCATTACCTCTTTTGCTTCTAATGTCTACCGCTTAAAAAAAGTTATTGAAATTGCCCAAAAAACTGACAAAAAGATCGTTTTGCTGGGTTCTTCGCTCTTGAAAATGATGAAAGCTATCCAAAAAGCCAGTTTGTGAAAAATAGATAATTCCGTTTTTTTAAAGGCAGAGGCCATTGCCAAAACTCCGAACAATGAGTTAATTATTTTCTGCACAGGTTCCCAAGGAGAGGAAAAAGCGGTTCTGAGCCGCTTGGCCCATCAAAATTATCCGGATTGAAAAGTGGAGGCTGGAGATTGTATTATTCTAACTTCTTCACCAATTATGGATAATAAGTTTAATGTTGAACTAATTAGCAACAAATTATTCGCTCTGGGAGCCAAAGTCTATGAAAATAATAAGGAGGATTTGCTCCATGCTTCCGGTCACGCCTGCCAAGAGGATTTAAAATTAATGCTGACTTTGACTAAACCTCGTTATTTTATGCCCTTTCACGGCGATTTTCGGATGTTGAAAAAACACGGGCATTTGGCTCAAGAATTAGGTATACAAAAGGAAAATATTTTCGTTTGTGCTAATGGAGAAGTGGTGGAAACCAGAGGCAAAGAATTTTTTTTAACCAAAAAAAAAATCCCAGCCCAACCCAATTATGTATTTAATGGTCGGATACTTCCTGCGGAAGAGTTGAAAAACAATCTAATTTTGCGGGAAAAAATGTCCCAAGGCGGTTTTTTTTTGGTGGTAATTTTCTATGATAAGACCAAGCATAAATTAACCACTCCTCCTTATCTTTTTACTTACGGATTTATTAATATGAAAAAAAACGAGCATTTGCTTAATGATTGAAAAACAAAAATTACAGAACTGATAATGAATAAAATCTCAGTAAAAAAACAAAAACTAAATTGGGAGGAGGAAATTAAAAATTACCTGGAGGAGGAGTTATTGAAAAGTTGAAATAAAGAAAAGCCTCTGATACGTACTATAGTGGCATAGTAGAAGAAAAAAATGAGTATAACATACTATTTTAAACCATTTTTAACCAATATTTAAGACCGGAATTAAAAATGCTGTTTTGTTTTTTTTAAAAATAAATAAAAATAATATAAAATATGGTCTATAAACAAAAAAGCAGAAGTAGGTGAACTAGCAGAATTACCTTATTTCTCTTACTAACCATAAACATTTTTTTGCTTTCTTCGCTAATTTTACATTGATACACTGCTCAGAGAATTAAAAATAATTTCAATGACTTTTCCCAGCAAATAAAAAAAGAATTAAAAGATTTTTCTCAAGTAGTTAACCAAGCCGAAACAGAATTACAAAATATCCAAAAAGAGATTGGAGGATTAAATGAAACTATTGAGGAATTGAATGCTATTGAAAAGGAATTAAAAAATGTCACTGCTAATTTGGCAGAATTGAATAAAACTGGAAAGGAATTGGAACGGACTGGTGAAAATATTAAAGGAAGTTTAGACGATTTGGGAGAAATAAAAGAAAAGATTGACGAGTTGGTTAAATTAGAAATTCCTTTAGCTGAATTAGAAAAGACCATAGACCGAGAAGGGGGAGAAATTGCCAAAGCGTTGAAAGAAAAAATTGGTGGTATCATTGACAAAATTAACGAGTACAAAAAAGTTATCTGCCCCACCTGTTTCAATTGAAATTTTAAAGTTAATTCTTTTTCACTAAACGGCGACAACATTTTAAGCAATAACACTATTGAAAAAAGAAAATGAAAAGAACTCTTCAAGGACGGAAAATTGATTATTACAGGACAACTGGAAACAGTTAAATATTCTCAATGAGGATGGGATTATGTAAGGGGTTCATTTAAAAGAGAAAGGATAGATGATGCAGTTGAAAGAGATATTACTATTGAAGAAAAGGAGGAAATAAAAGGATGAAAGGATAAAGAAGAACCCAAGACAAATGGAGAAGAAAGAAAAGAATTTATTTTAGAAGAGGCTCATTGTAAGGATTGTGGAAAAAAATTAGTTTTAAAAGATTTTAATATTAAGGAGTTAAGAGGGGTATAATTATTTATGAGGAAAAATAAATGAAAATTTTTTGCCAAAGGTCAAAAATAGATAGAAATATTTTCAATAGACAGAAGAAAACAAATAATTACGGGTAATTATGCATTTCAAGACACATCCTCAATCCCTAAAAGGAATTTTTATGCTTCCTTTTTTTCTTAATTATTCTATTTCTACTATTTGGGCTTGGCCTTTAGTTGTTTTAGGAATGGTTATAAATAAAACTCCATCCTCATAACGAGCCTTAATTTTTTCTTTTTCGACTGCTGCTGACAACACGAATTCCCGAGTAAAAGAACCATAAAAGACTTCAGAATAATGCTGCTTGGCATTTTCTCGTTTTAATTTTTCTTTTCTGTTCCCAGAAATCCGCAAAATATTTTCGTAGACCTCAATTTTAGTTTCCTCTTTCTTAATTCCTGGCAAATCAATTTCCACATAAATATTATCTTTGTCCTCTGTCACTTTGCTTTGGGGTTGAAATTCTTCTCATGCCTCACTCAACCCTGGGGTTGGTCACCAAAAATCATTAAAAAAATTATCGAGACTTCTTTGTAAATGTTTTAGACCTTTAAATTGATTTCTTTTGATTATATTTCGATTATTCATAGTTATTTTTTGTTGTTGCAATGATAATGGTTAAAGAGGGAGCCTCCGGATGACTCCCCGGCTAATTCTGTTGATAGGTTTAGCCACACCCCTATTCTGTTATTTCAAACCGTCCGTGCTCATCATGAACTACTACGTGCCCGTTTTCCACTTCATTTTTCATTTCTCATGCTCTTTGTAAGGCTTGCTCTTTGGTGTCGAGAGCAATGGCCCCATTAGCCCTAACTTCTTTAACTCGTCATTTACCATCCGAGCGGGAAGGAGTAACATGAAAGAAATGAGCGCGCGGACTTGCTTGACCTTTTGTTGTTTCTGCCATAATTTTCCAATATCTATCTTTTTTTTAGTTTATTGTTTCTACCAACTTTTGACCAGTGCCGATAAACTGGGATAATTGCCTTCAACTAATGTTCTAACCAACGGCAATTAGCAAAAATATGATTAGAACTCTTTTGCCTTTTTTACTGAAAAGAAAACTTGCCAAGGAGCGCTCTCTTAGCAAAAAAAAACAGTCATTTTTTTCTTATTTTTATCTAGAATACAAACAAGAGGGAGAAAAACTGTTTTGTTTTCCTGCGTTAGCAAATAAGAACCCTTTATCTTATTTTTTCTTTTGCTTTAAGTTCTAATGGTGGAATTAGTGAAGAAATTCCAGATAATTTATTCTTGTGAATTTATTATCGTAATAAATCCAATTAGGACTTAACTTTGCCCTGTTTTACTTCCGGTAAAGTCGCCTAGGGTAAAATAAATAATCTTTGATTATTTTACTGCCGTAGGCTTAAAGTGTGAAGCATTTTTTTAACTTCCTTATTTGCCGCAAACAATAAGTTGGTTAGGAGAAAAATATAACCCATGAATAATCTTTCACTCTAAATTCTTTTTCAACATATTTCTATTTTATATATTTTGTTGTGTCTGAAACGCAATTTTGATCTTTATTATTGTGTGATTTAACGATAAAAATGGCGGGACGGGAGGGATTCGAACCCTCGAATTATGAATAATTACCTCGTTAGCAGTGAAGCGCCCTCGACCACTAGGCGACCGTCCCTTTTCTAGTAATTATATTAATTTATTTTGTTATCATACTATAATTTTACTCTAATATTTATTGGTTTAGATGTTTAACAATTTTCTGCTAATAGATATAGAGCGGCTTGTATTCAAACAGAATTAAGTGGGATAGTTCACATGTAAAAATAAATTATGAATTGAGTAAACAAAATAGGACAAATAGTAACTAAAATATCCTTATTTTTGCCTTGCTTTTATACTTTTACTAATTACTTCTACATCCTAAAAGAAGAACAGAGAACTACTCTTATGGGAATTTTCTTTTTAGCAGTCAGCATTATCTACTTCTTAACTTGCTTATATTTTTTAATTGTGAATTGAGGCAAATAATATATATAAAATTTTAGACAAGAAAATCTGGTTTTGATTACAAACGAGGAAAAATCATCCGAAAAATTCTAATACAACTAGACAAGAAATAAAAAAATGACTTCGGTGCTAATTGATAATAAAATGCTTGCTAAAAATATATTGTATATTCTGGCTGTTTCTGGTGGTCCAGACAGCCTATTTTTGCTTGAAAAAATGCACCTTGGGGGATACAATTTGGCAGTTGCTCATGTTAATTATAAAAAGAGAAAAAATAGTGATTATGACGAAAAAATAGTGAAAAATTATTGTCAAAAATATTCTTTGCCTTGCGAAATTTACCAAGTTCAAAATTCAGAATACAATTCGGTCAGCAATTTTCAAGACCGAGCCCGCCAAATCCGCTACAATTTCTTTCAAAAATTAGCCGCCAAATACCAAACTAAATATATCGTCGTTGCCCACCACCGAGACGACCATCGCGAAACTTATCTGCTCCAAAAGCAAAAAAAATCATTAGTAGAATATTGAGGATTACCAGCCCGAACCAAACACGGAAAATGCTGAGTTCTCCGCCCTCTTCTATCTCTTAGCAAAGAGCAAATTTGTCAATATCTAATTGAAAACAAAATAGATTATGCTGTTGATACCACCAACCAATTGCCGATTTATCAGCGTAATATTATCCGCCAGCAAATAGCCGACTTAACCCCCGAACAAAAGGTCCTGCTAGACAAAGAAATTGAAAAAAAAAACCGTGAGTTAAAAAAAATTAAAAAAATTGTGCAAACGGCCGCTAGCCAATTAATTATTCACCCTCCGAGAATGCCTTTTATTTCACATTCAATTCTCAAACTTGTCAAAAAAAATGAATACGAGGCCGAAATATTTTTGCGCTTGCTCTATTTTTGAATTAACCGGGCCACAGGCGGAATTCTCCACCAACGAAAAAAAAAACTTCTGTGTGAGGTTTACAAACAATTGTTTATCAGCCCCAAAATTAATTTGATTATTGAGTTAGGAAATGATTTCCAGATAGTCAAAACTCTTAACCAAGCCCATATCGTGGCTAAAAAATATATTAATAATTACAACAATGAAAGACCTACCACCAGCAAAAAAAAATAAAAAGCCCTCAGGAACGGGAAAATGGTTAGGTTCATTGCTAATCCTGCTTTTTCTCATTATCGGTGTGGTTCTACTCATGGAAGGTTTTTCCGATCCTGACCAAAAGACTTTTGAATTATGCAAGAAAGAGAGTGGAACCTTGGAAATTGAAGGCTTGAGCCAAGACGAAGTTGCTAAAATAAACTGAAAAAAGGCCGAATATGCTGTCCATCCCTGGGGAGACAAAGGTCACTATCGCCTTTATGGAGAGGGAAAAAATTTTTTCAAAAGGCTAGTCGGCAAGCAAGCCATTTATGATGCCTTTTGTAAATTAGAGCCACGCGAGGTAAGAGACAAAGAAATCGATTTTGTCGGATTCACCAGCCCAAAAAAGGTCAAAATTCCCATCATTGAGTCTCTTACCAAACTTAATTTTTTTGCGGAAAAAAAGCCATGGCTTACTTTTGAGAATGCAATCAAATTGATAACTACTCTGGCCTCTCTTTTAGTAGCGTTTTACATTTTTGATATGATTTTTGGCACCAATATCCTTGGGGCAATTGCCTATCCTTTTCGCAATTGGGGAAGAGGAACCGGAGAAACAGATGTTCCGAAAATTGGTTACAAAGATGTAGGAGGTTATGATGAAGTAAAAGAGGAACTGGGTGAAATAGCCGAATACGTTAAGAATCCCAGACCCTTTTGACAAAAGGGAGTCAAGGTTCCTACAAGCACAATATTATATGGTCCGCCCGGCAACGGCAAGACCTTAGTGGTTAGAGCCACTGCTGGCGAGTGTAAAAAACCTTTTCTCTTTCGCTCGGGTTCCGAATTTGAGGAGTCAGTGGTAGGACTGGGTGCCAGGAGGATGCGAGACCTTTTTCGCCGAGCCCGTGAACTGGCTAAATTATATGGATTTTGTTTTGTTTTCATTGATGAAATTGACGCAATTGGTCGTAAAAGATACTCAGGCCATTCTGGGCACGCTGAACAGACTCTAAATCAATTACTAACTGAGTTGGATGGATTTCGTCCTCGCAATAATGTTATTGTTCTAGCAGCCACCAACTCCTTACATGTTTTAGATAGTGCTCTATTGAGACCAGGCCGATTCGACCGCAAGATTTATGTCCCTTCTCCCAATTTAAAAAGCCGACGAGAAATTATTAAACTTTGTGCTCGCAAACTGCTACTAAAACCTAATGTCGATTTGGAAGAGATTGCGTCTTTGACTAAGGGTCTAAGCGGAGCACAAATTACCAGTATGTTTAATGAGGCTTCTATTTTAAGCATCCGCAGCGGCCAAAAATACATTGACTATGAAATGATTTTTGAAGCCTTTGACCGAGTATTAATGGGACCTTCTTGGACCAGCCAGACTCTAACTCCGGACAAAAAAAAAATAGTGGCTTATCATGAAGCCGGTCATGCAATTATTGGTCTAAGTTTGCCGGAAACAATTGTCAAAAAAATTACTATTATTCCACGTTTGTCAGCCGGCGGCTACACTTGGGTTGATTTGTATGGGGAAAAAGGTGACGATTACCTTATTAACAAAAGCCAAATGCTAGCCCAAGTGATGTCTTTTTTGGGTGGACGAGCCAGCGAAGAGTTAATTTTTGGCTTGGAATATATCACCATCGGTGCTTATAGCGATTTTAAGCAAGCCGCTAGCATTATTCGAGACCTAATTCTGCGTTATGGAATGTCGGATTTAGGGATTGTTCCAACCCAAGAAACTTTTTTTTCTAGTGAAGAGATACCGCCAGAATTGCCCGAAGTTGCCAAGCAAAAAATCGAGCAGGAGCGAGAAAAAATAATGAACCAATGTTGAAAAAAGGTCAAAACAATATTACGGCAAAAAAAACGAGTCTTAGACTTATTAGCAGAGGCGCTTTTAGCCAAAAATTCTCTCCAAAAAGATGATATTAATTATATCTTTGTCAACCAAGTCTCTCCTTATACACCTTTACTAAATTAGCCAATTATGATGAAAAATAGACCAGGATATTTTATGCGAAGTATCAAAAATAAATTAGAGTATTTTGCCGATAAGACCAAAAAAAAATCTGGTGTTTTGCCTGAAACACCAAGTGTTGCCGTAGGCCAAAAACAGTTTTTTGCCAGAGACCAAAAGATTAAAAAAAAATTCAAAACCCACCCAATAAATAATGATTCGTCCGACCAAGGCACATATAATGTTTGGCAGAAGTATAATGATTTTATTCGTCGCCTTTACTTAGAAAAGCCACTTAAAAGACCTACTGGCAAACAGGTGACTCTCAAATACTTGAGCAAGTTAACCATTGTCTTTTTTGGAGCTTTATTTACTACTCTTACCTTTTATTTTTTGATTGATCCGAATGGTCTTTATAACAGCGGGTTAAATGGTTTATTACAAGCCGCTTCTAAACTAATAGTTGGCCGTGGCAATGTTGGCTGAACTAATTATTATCTCATTTATTATGGCTTGGGGTTTGCGTTTAACTTACTTTTTATTCTGATTTTGCGGGCTTTTTTCAAGGCTAAATTAGAAATAATTAGCACCTCGATTTTTTATGTTTTGTCCCAAATTGCTTGGACGCAAATATTTGGTATTCTCAAATTACGTGAATATGTTTTCAATCGGTTTAACCCTAGCAGTTGGCAAGGTCTGAGCGCCAATAGCCAATTATCTTTTACCCTACCCTATTACATAGTTATCGCCATCGTGGCAGCGATTATTCACACCTATGGATATAGCCTAATTTTCCAAGCCCAGGCGACCCCCGGCGGCCTGGAGATTTTTACTTCTCATTTTTCTTCTCGCAAAGGCAAAAAGAAAGTTTCAATTAGCACTTTGATGAAAATTTTCGGATTGGCTATCATTTTTTTTGTTACTCTCGTTAATTTCTTCATGATTGAGGACGACTCCAAAATGAGAGAAAGCCTGCTCCAAAAAGAGTTTGAAGAGCAAAAGGAAAAACTTGAGGGAAATGGTATAAAAATAACGAGCAGAAAAACCGAAGATATCGATATCTTAGAAGAATGAGAGAGAGAAATGAAATACGCTAAGCAATTAGAAAAACAGGAAAACCCAGACCTGAAAGAAATTTTCGCTATTCGAGAGAAATACCGCCCCCTTACCTCCCTTCTTAAAAGTAAAACCGGCTTTCAAGAGTTAGAAAATTATCCCCAAGAAATCCGATATTATTTAGCCTGTCCCGAAGAAAAGAAAAAAATATTACAAGCCGAAAGGGACAAAATTGAGAGAAAAATAAATAGCGCGAGCGACAAAAAATTAGTCCGAAAATTACGGAGAAAAAATGATTTAGAAACCCGAATTAAAGAGTTAGACAAAGAGGAAGAAAGAAGCGTGGTTCATAAATATTTAAGTTATATTACCAATAATGAGCGGCTATGAGCAACCATGGTATATATTTTTCTTTCCTCGTTCTTGATTAGCCAAATTTTCCCTCGCGACCAAATCATCCTCTTGCGTCTCCATTCCTTAACCGAAGAAAATCGCAACAAAGGCTTGAAATTGTTGAAAAAATTTTCTCCGGTTTACTACACCGTTTATCGCCGAAAAGGCCTCAAAGAGGAAGTTATTCATGTAGTCAATTGCCGCTTAAGCAAGTGAAACTATTATCTTCTTGTCCCTTATTTAAAGCAAGTTGGGACCCCTCATTTTAGCGAAGCCAACGCGGACGAGTAAATATTTTCTTGACCTACGGCAAAGTATCTTTGTTATATTACAATACTCAAATTAAATTTAGGCAGATTAGAGGATGCCCGACCTCTCGGCATATAGCCTTTACTATGATTAACTTTTGAATTGGTTAACATAATACTTTTCTCATAAAATCTTATTATAATTTCAAAGGGCAGCGTAGCTCAGTTGGTTAGAGCAAACGACTCATATTCGTTAGGTCGGAGGTTCGAATCCTCTCGCTGCTACCAATTATCTATATATTAATTAAAAAACGACCATTACCAGGCCAATTATTTAGCCAAATCCTATTTTTTGCTATTATTCATTATCTTTCTTTTTGGCTAATTCTCTTTCTAAAAAGTATAATTTTGCCCGACGAACTTTTTGATTAATTTTACCGATTTTTTTAATGCTTACTATAAAAGGAGAATTATAAGAAAAAACACTTCTAACAGCAACCTTATCGCTT